ATGCTATCTAACAGTTCATCTTAAACAGAATGTATGCTAGTTTATACAGAATATTTGCAGTTTGCAGTAAAAATACAGGCCCAACTAACATTCGAACTATCTTTTTACACCAATGCTATAACATAAACTGATGTTCATTTCTTTATTTCTGCTTCAACTTCAAACTTTCAACAATACATGGTTCAGAGGTTGTGTACCTGGGAATATTTGCAATTGAAGAAGAGGGCAATCAGTAGAGTAACAATGAACAAATGCAGCAGCAGTAACAGCACTAACAGTAGCAGCAGGGCAATATAGCAACAACAACAAGACACAGAAGAGTAGCAACCACAACTCACAAAACAATTGGAGTGAGATCAACCCCATCTAAACCAAACTTTCGAGTAGAACAAATAACAAACAAGTAGACTCAGTTGGGAGAAATCAGTGTTGCACAAAACAGGTCCAGATTTAGTGAAGTCAGAAACAAAAGGAAAGGAAGCAACTTCTAGTTTTGTCTGTCTGAGTTATCAGACAAAAATTCTTTTCCAGTTTTCTGTTTCCAAAAAAATTGAACTCTCAGATGTTCCCTCTTAGTATCTCTCCCTATCTCTGTGTGCTCTGTCTGTGTGTCTCTATCAGTGTGTATTCCAGCTCTCTCTTTCAAAGAATTCCTCACAGTCTAATCTATTTTTCTTTTTCCCCTTTAATTCTGTCTATGTCTCCCTCTCTTTTTCAGCTCTCAAGGTCCAGTGTGTGTATTTTCTTTCCTCTCTAATTCTGTATCTGTCCCCCTCCTCAGTCAGATATCTCCCTTTTATATGCCTTCCTTACCCCTTTTAACAGCCTGTTTAGACTATCACCATACCCCTCCCATGTGCCCTTCCATTTTCAGTTCCACTTTAGCTAATTAAGTATTAAACCCATCAATATTCCCTGGCAGATTTATTCTTTAAAAGGCTTAATATTTCTTAAACTAAAGCAAGGTATGGGGCAGTAGAATACATCTGACAGCATATGCTGTCAAACCATTTTAAAATTAAAAGCCCTTTTATGCAGGAAACAGGCTGTGCACAAAGCACATGAGGTGCACCAATGCACATGCTGTGCATGAGTGCACATGCCCTCCAATTCAGAGTTTAAACCAAACATCTNCTTCGAGAGTAAGGGGTTTGGGTTGGTCCAGGTGGAAACGGGTCGGGTTTGTTGGTGGGTTACGGGGAATTGATCTTGGCCGTTGATCACTCTGAGATCAACGGCCCAGATCAGGCACGATCTAAACGACGTCGTTTGGACACCCTGGGTACTAAGTGGTCTGGACCGGGCAGGCCTGGGTTTTGGGCATTGTTTGTTTGGGCCAATTTTATTGAATTGGCCCATNTAAATGTTCAACAGAAGCAAATCGATTTACTATGCTCAGACAGTTGAAACATATTGACGACACATGTCGACTCGACTATATTAGCATTAACATACACAATCGCAGCCAAAAAATCAGAAATTTAAACAGTATCGATACATGGTTCGAATTATACTGATTAAACAGAGTGGTACTCGAGGAGCCNTTCCGGAAGAAGAAGGGGTCCTTTCTCTTTTTTTTTTTTATTTTATTTCTTTTTCTTATTTATTTT